ATTAGTATTTATTCGGCGCGTTATTGTGTCTTAAATCCACATGATGTTAATAAGCCGTATTATTTTGATTCAATTTTATGATTTGCAATCTGGGAACTGTTTTGATATGAGTTTTAAGATAATGAGATAAATGAGCTTTAAGGCATGATTGCCCTGCATTTAGTTATTTCCAGCGTTAGCAATGACATCAACATCTTGGCAAAGTTTCACGCGTTCGCTTATGCGATTCGTTGGAGAAGCGGGGTCTTACTTATTGTATTAATTGACTTAATGTATTCGTTGGAGAAGCGGGAGCTTACTTGTTGATTATAAGAAGTATTAATTGACAGTAAGGTTTGTGAGTAAAATATTTTAATTAGGAAGAAAATTTATTTGTTTAACTAACTTTTTAATTGCACCAGCAGCATCTATCAGTCTTCTGCCAGCAGCAAGAAGCAACGTCACTGTCATTTCAGCTACGGAATCTGTTGATACATCAGGAGTGTTGCTAACTGGAATATTCCTGCAGATAAAAAACGGTCAATTAAACTTAATGCTAAACGTTTATACAGGCATAAAAATATTGTGTTTTTTTTTCATGCTTACCTTGCTTTGCATTCTTTTGTATCAATATGGTCATACCCGACCGACATAGTTGCAATAGCTTTTAACTGAGGACCTAAAACAATAAATGAAACCCATTTTACAATACTTGTTATTGAATGGAAAAGTACATTCTAAGCTATATTTGAATATGCCTCAGTAAAAATATTTATAAATTCATGACCATAGAACAGGAGGCTCGAAAACAAATATGCACCATAACATGAATGTAAAACGCACAATTCCCATTGCAAGTAAAGCATTTCTGAACATTTAATATGGTTTATAGCTTAATAGAGTGAAACACTTAAAAGACTAGCTGCCTAAGGGAAAGAATGCCTTAAGGGTGAATTTCTAAAAGAAAGCTACACCACATACAATTTTACTACTGACGACTATGATTTAAGCCACTTTCCTAAAGACGAAAACGCACAATATTTAAAAAAAAATTCAAATGACATAATAACCCTACGTCTCCGATTTGTTTACTCGGTTTCAAGCAGCTATGTCTCTTAATGATAAACAGAACCAATTGGATGAAGTACAAACGCATTAAAAATAGTACGTCACAAAGAAAGTTCTTTATGCAGTGGACTGATATTCAATATTAAAAACATCAACAACGGATAATAAAGGACTTAATAATATCTAAAAATGTTACAGTACAATAATATGCTTCTTGAACTGATGAACATATAACTAACTGGTTGAAAATAATATGGCCTTCAGAAGAAAGCTGGATGTTACATTCAACAAATTATGAAAAAAAATTTAGTTGTTGTTCAGTCACTAGTTAAATTTTTAGTTACGGGAGGGGGATATTAAAATGGTTTGAGAAGTGATACAGTAAGTCATTGTTTTGGGAAAAATATTGGAAAGGATTTAACGGAATTCGGGCATTAAAGCATGAAAACGCTTTAAAGTAAATTTAAAGCACAAAGTCACTAATACTGCTACGTTTATGTTATTATAGTTAACTGAGGTAATCACACTTCAAGAACAATTTATTTCAAGTCTTTAATAACTTGGTACGATATTTTCTTTCAAATGAATGTTACAAGTAAAATTAATCAATTTTTAAGCATTGGCTTAATTAAATTTACATAAATGAGTTATACTTATTTGGAAAATAGAATGCAGACAAAATAACAGTTATGCCGCAGAGTTGGCTACTACAATATTCATCATAAGTTAAAAGTGTCGACTGAAAACTAGGCTGATTTATTACAAGACAATAATAAGCATAAGATGAAGGACTTGAAAAACATTTTGCATATTACATGCTGGAGAAAGCATGAAAACCCTCGAGTCACGCTACCAAAACGCACCGCCACAAACCACAATATGGACATGGTTTACAGAAAAAATTGTAAAACGATGGTGTGTTAGTATTTTTTGGCTCAAGACCAACACATGGGTCATCTGTTCCAAACGGAAAACGGTTTGCGATGAACGAAAGGGAAAAATGAAATATTCATACCAACTCCAGATGAATCCAGATGATGAAAAACTTCACTCCGTGACTACCAAAAATACTTCAGTTCTAAACATTTCCGAGCGATTTCATACAATTTTCCAAATAATTTCTTGAATCTTAATTAAATGATTATTTAAAACTGGAGTTCTATCGCAACATTCCCGGAACTTAAAAATATGTGGGAGTAATAAAACAGTTAATCATCTGTCAATAAAGGGTAGTACTACTTATTTTTAAAAGAACGCTTTTTTGAAATTGGCAAAGATGAAAGTTCTGAATTACTATCGACTGTATTCTTAAACGTGCAATTTGCAGTTTATGTCTATTTTTGCCCATTAAAATGTTTTAAAACCCATGAAAGTATTAATTTATTGCGCACGTGTGAGAAGTAGATCTTGAACCCACATCCAATAAAATTAACACACCAGGCTAATTTATTTATGCAGCTTAGAATTACAAATTATTCTTCCGAGCAAAATGCTCCGAAAAAAATGCTCAATGTTATAAAAGTCAGTGTAAAAAAATATTTAATGAAATTAGATTTACCAAAGTTCGGTTAAAACGTTGCTAGAACATTTATAGTATGCTTGCTGAGGTAACTGATCCCATAAAAGTGTATTTTCTCCCTCCTTTCTGCATGCTTTTGTGATGTAACGGTAGCACACTACGTCCGTATTTGAGAGGTCCAGGTTAGAGTCCCATTTTTCATTTGAAATCAGTCAAAAGCTAATATTGAATATTAACATTTTAGGGTAAAACTTATACATCAATGCGAGTAAAATTGGAAATTGTGACTTCCATCAGCAAATTATTTACCCTACCCAGAAATACGGGTGAATTATTTGCGTTTTGATCACAATAAATCCTTCTAACTAAAAAATTATATTCATTAATGGGTATTTTTTAAAAAAATCATTTAGTTAAAACAAAAATAGTCACTTATAATATCCAAGACGTTATTTTTCACTGATAATTCAGTTTAGGGTTTTAACACCTAAAAATCCTCGAAGCTTCTCTTAAACCTTTACAGCGCTCCAGAAAGTATAAAATTACTTGAGAATTTGGGTTGAATTTACATAAGATTAATTAGAGAATTAGAGAATTTAATTCAAAGAATTTAATCCAGAGAAAATTTAATCTGGCTTTGACTTGATTTAGAATATAACTTACCCGATTGTTCTGAAGGTATTTATGTAACTACAGTCAAAAGTCGTTAATCTGGACTTGTCGGGACTTCGGCGATCCGATTATCATTTTTCCGGTATAGATCCTTCTTAATCGGTAAGTGGGCAGCAATTACAAAATTAAAAATTGAAACCTAATTATGAAATAAGAACAATTATGATCTAAAGGTAACAAAATTCCAAAAAAAGCTTAATATTTATTTGTTTACTTTTGAAACATTCTTCACCGCGCTACGGTAAGCATACTTCGCATAGTCGAAAAGAAAATTGCAAACAGAAAACTTTTGATGCGTACTCGTGATATTTATACGACGAGATTGATTTAAATCATATCAATACGGAATACAGCGAGATGAATACTACATTTAGTAGGAATTATAAGCTGAATAAAAAAAACATCTGCCTGAAGATGGATAGTGCTGACAGTTACTCATTTAATGCTCACCGCGATGTCCCTCCCCCCCCCGCAGAGCAGCGGATTGATAAACAGATTTCGGAATGTTGAACCAAGGATATGCATTTTTTTTTCAGCAATTCCACTTTTTGTTAATGGGACTTGAAAATACTTTCGCTTTGTAGATCCTTTACATATTAGTAAATATATATCGGAAATTCTATTTGACATAATCGAAAGTTCAAGCTTAGTTTTATAAAATTGCTCTAACAGTCTGTAAAAAATAATAAGCCAAATCCAGTTCGAAGATTAAGGAACAACGCAATCTGCAACATTAACTGAATTAGATAATTTTAGCTTAGCTTATACCGTCCATTATACATTAAACGCGCATGCGCACACGCAAATTCGCAGCCGTAAAGGTCTGACGCGCACGCATAAACGCGACGCATGCGCATAAAGTTTGTAGTTTTATTTAAAGAAAAGCACTTGATGGCTATTATTTAATATCATCCGAATATTGACCAAAATACGAGGTATGAAAATCGGAAACCTCGCACTCCTCTTTCCTTCACATATTTCTCGACAGAATATCGATATTGATGGGTTGTTTGAGACAACCAAACTCAGAGATGCTAGTCAATGAAGTCGGGGCTTAAACTCACGCCATAAGCGTATGGCTAGCTTCCTCATATCTTGCAGGGCAGAAAAGCTTAAACTAGATTTAATAACTGACAAGACGTCACTTAAAACCTTTAAATTAGGAGTTTCCATTTAAAATTCCATTAATCCTGCCGGTCGATGGAATTTTAAATGGAGTCACTGATGTTGAGTTAACGATTGAGGGTAGATAGCCAAAAGAATAGAACATACTTAAACGAGTAAGGAAGATAGTAGATATTTGATGTTGCATTAAGCTATTATACTCGATTTATGTTAATCAGAGAAAACAGTACAGAGATCAGATCCGAAATGAGATAAAAAACGCATTTAATATGAATGAGAAATTATGTTTTTATGCTCATTACCTTTTATTTTAAATTACCCATAATAGCACACAAAACATTATTGCAAAATTGATAAGTGTTAATTGATATATAGCTAAGGAAAACTTTATTAATATAAATATAACGAAGATATAAAATAAACACAAAATTAATAAAAATCAATAATACTTTTTTAAAAGATTTTTAAGCAAAACTTGTAATATAAAAAAGGTAAAACACAGGAACACAAAACAACCCCCCTCCTAAAAAAAATACGAAGAATGCAAAACTACCTCATATATTATATACGAGCCACCTTCAAAATTTAAAAGAAAATTTTAATGTTCGCTTCTAAGACACTGAATATTTGTATGAGGCATACTGCCTCATAAAACCACTGAACATATGAAATCGGTGATATATTTTGATCTTAATACTGTATAAGATGAGTTGATGCATTGAAGGAAGATTGTTTGCATTGGGAAGGGTGATCAATCTCCAAAATAAAAGTTGTTATTGAACAACATTGAGTTTCTCTTCTTTTTCTCAGTAGAAACACAATGCACTCGGAGAGAGGTTCGCAGGGTTCTTCTAAGTACTGGCAAGCTCATGCACGAGTAATGCCTCTTCTCTGAAGCCTTTTAAAGGTGTCGAAACACCAAAGGCGGCTCCTGCTGAATAAAAATATCTAGCGATCACGCAGTCCGAGTTCAGACATGACAGTACCTTCACAAATCCCTGCCGCGCCTGTACAGATCACCATGGAACTACTGGTTCTAGTCCTATAAAGGCATCTAATCTCTCCAACGTACGGACAGAGCAAGTTACTAGGTCGGAGGTATCTAATAGAAAATGTCTTTAGTAAAGTTAATTTGCTACGGAAAATGAGAAATAAACTGAATATTTTTTAATAAGGAGACTTAAGAATTTAAGCAATTTTATATCAAATATTTAAAAAAAATCGCATCAATACATCAAGCGGAGCTTCTCATTCATTAAAACCGAACTCTTCTTTAGTTAGAATCGGATATTTTT